ATCTAGTGTATAGTGGTATTTGCGAGATAAGAATACAGGAGCTGTTCTGGATAAGAACGACTGTTGGCTATGTTACATTTATTTTGTTCTGTTGCTGAAATTATGAACAGTTTCAGCTATACATTTTATAGTAAGTGTTAGTTATGGATCATTATTGGTTATTTAGAAATATTTTATAGAGATTTTATAAAAATATTTGGATATAAAATCTAATTTTAAACTTCTTCACCCATCCGAGTCTAGAGAGTTTTAAGTTGAATATTTATTGTATTAACATCAGGAAAAGAGTTTCCAATGTTTTGAGATAGGGAGCAAAAGTGGATAGGTTTCAGTGTTTGTGTACTGGTAAGATAATACAGAAATGATTTTACCTAATTGATAACGAGCCCGAGAGAAAAACTAAAAATTTCTACACAAAACCACAAAATTACCATTTTTTTCACCATTCTCTTACCATTACACAAACACTGAAAACTTACCATTTCTATTCCCTATCTTGATGCATTGCAAAATCTTTTTCCAATGTTAAAACATAGCGAGGCAGACCGGAAATTTATAACGTATGTTAATACATGGGGTCTGCCTCGCAACCCCCCCCACCGCGCGCTCTCTTCACTCATCTACTACTGTAGTCTTTGCTATAACAAAAAAGTCTTGTAATGATGAATGTGAGACGAAATGTTTCTGATCGTTTGAGTTTTTTTCCTGCGCTCAATTGTAAGAAAATATCTCGTCTGTCAATGATAATCCCAGTTTTGCTCAGATGATGATTGTGCTCTTCTTGTTTTCTGTAAACGTTGTCTATTGTTTTCCTGTCGACGAATTAACCATCCAAAACATAATTGAAAGAATTATTTGGTTCTCACAAGGAGATATTTGATTATGCATCGAATGTGGGCTGTTGAGTTAGGTTCGAGGTGTAACTCATAGAGTAATTTCGGATAGAGTACACCGTCTGCTCGTCACGCTATCTTATTTTCGGCCGGATAGATTCGTGCAACTTCTTAGTCTAATACCGATCCTAATCTTACTCTTATATCTACTAGTCTCAGGGTGTTTAACAAGTCTCTGCTAGGCTCAATAGATCTAGAGTATACTGGCTTATTGCGGTTGCTAAAGGTCTCTTGGAGAGGTCACTAATTTCTAAGTTAAATTCAAATCTCCCTGGTGCTGAAATTACAAGTAATTTCAGCACTTACAATTAAGTGGGTGGTTAGTTAGATGGATCGTGATTGGTTAATATTAAATATCTTAGAGTGATAAAATATCCAATTTATAACCAATAATAAATATAGTTTATATCTGGTGCCACTGTAGTCGAAGTGTGGATAGAGTGAAAGTTACAACAAAAAAGGACATTTTTGTTCTATTTTCAAATGTATATCGAGCTTTCAAAATTTCAAAATACAGATTTTAAGGGAAGTCGAGCACTTAAGGCTTTGCTCCGATTTGAGCATTCCTTTTTTATTTTTTACTGATCTTTTACGCGCCCTTCGACTAGACTTTGAATGGATTGCATCATTTCTTTCATTTTTTTTGCTTTTACGAACTTGCTTTTATAAAATAATCTTTTGCAGGGCAGTTGTATTTTCATATAACCAATACTTTATATTCTAAGATTTGATAAGAAAAAATGATATTTGACTTTTTCAACACTCTGAATAAATATTTGAAAAAAGCTAAATTAGAGACGTAAAACGATCAATCTGTTCCTTCCCATAAAAGTTATTCCTCAGCAGTATATTTTCAATATGCGAAATGGTACTGAGAAAAAAAAATTAAAAAATTAATAGGTACAAGAAATCAATCTCTTTTTGAATGCCATCTTTCTAAAACTTTTTTGTTCAGAAAATTTTTCATGTTGACAGCTGTTTCAAACTCTTTTTCGATAAAAATCAGTGGATGAAAGCCTAACTATAATTGAAGCCTTGAGCCTTGTTTTTTTGTTTAACTACAAGATAATTTTTTGCACTAAAATGTTTTTTATTTGAAATGCCGATTTCAATGTCACTCTTTTTGTTTTTTCTAATCAAATGCTTGAAATTCTAAGAGAAAAAACATCAAAAGACAAAAACACTAGATTTCTTATTCAGGATTGTAACTCTATCAACGCCGCACCCATCACCCATGGGTTTTTTAAATATTTTTCTTAGTTTGTCCTTTCACAGCTTGTTATTGGAATGGAAAAGATTTGATGACGAGCAAAAACTATAGAAAAATTGTGAGTGAACAAAAAGCTGTTTTACCTATGAATTACTAATTTTTCAATTTGTTTTGTACAATTTGAACCATTTTACCCAGACAATTTTGTGCTTGCTAACATATTCGATTCCTCATTTTAAATTATTAATTAACTACTATTTATTTAACTTATTTCTGTTAAACCTTACTAACACTCTAGTTGCAAAAAAAAGTTTTTTTCTTTTTGTTTCTTATATGTACCTATAGAACTAATCAAATTAAGAGTGAAAAACTGTGGTTATTTTCCGATTGTGATAAAGTTTTCGTATTGTTCTGCGGAATGCAAAAATGTGTAAAAAACAACTTGGAATAAACCGTAGCTGATCATCGAAGAGGTAAGCATCAATGAAGTACACAAATAGCATAGCATACGGAAACATTGAATAGTAGACCAAAATGAACAAAAATTTCCGTATCATGTCGACACCATGAGATTCAGAGTGCCCACAAACAACTATGGAAGAGTAGCGTTCAATTAAAGAAAAAATGGCGATTTTTTTTTAAGTTTTTCTTTCAAAAATCCTCCTTTTGCCTTATTTAAAAAATAAAATCTTAATTTTAGCATATGTTAACGTATTAATTAGAATCAATAGCTTCAATTTTAGTTGCAAAAATTTATCAGCCAGATTTATGAGCCAGCTTAATCGATGCATACACTTTATTAACCACGAAATATATCGCGCATTAAATATCTCAATTTCGCCAAGTTGCCAATTTTAAACTCATAACTTTGCGAAAATAGCTTTTCAAACTTGAGCTTAGAACGCTATAAATTTTTCTGATGAAGTCAAAAATCCGTCAAAAATGGCTGGTCAAATTTTTTCTGAAGAAAAACTATCCCGAGCACAATAGTTCCGTCACTTTATTCGAAAGACGGAGCAAAAGCGATATGCATTTCTAGAATCAGAACAAATACCAAATCTTGCCAAAAAAGCCAATTTATCAATTAGACTATTTCAAATACTGATCAATTATAGTTATTGTTATTACAGTGAGTTCCTAGAAAAGGGCCAAACTCAGAAACTGATATTCAGTTACAAGCTTTCTAAGAGAAAAAATCCAAAGTTAAGAAGATTAAAAAAACTGAAATTAGCGCGGAACTTGTTGAGAACTTTTCTATCAGTCTATCAGAATTTGAAAATGGATGAAACAAAATTATAAAAAAACCTTTCTTTTCTGTTAGAATTACTCTACGCTTTTGCCAGCGACTTTCACCATCTTTCGGTTTGAAGAGCCCTATCTTGTTTCTACCAAGTGAAAGTCCTAAATTTTCGAGTTCTGGAAACCCGGGTCGCTGTTTCCGATTTATGTTATGACCAACTCGACCAAAAAGTGTATATTTTGACCGTCTCGACCCACGCTCGATATGTTTCGATCGACTCGACCCAAGCTGTCTATGTTTTAACTATGTGTCAACCGAGGAACCACATCATTTTGACCAAGTTCGACCGAGGAAAAACTTTTCGTACGAGTTCGCCCGAGGAGTTTTTTCCACCGAGAAAAATTTCGACCGAGAAGAGTTTCGACCGAGAAAAAACAGTTCGACTGTTTTTGACCGAGGAAAAACGTTTCGACTGAGTTCGACAGAGCAATTTTTTGACCGGGAAGAGCTTCGACCGGGAAGAACTTAGACCGAGAAAAATGTTTCGACTGTGTTTGACCGAAGAAAAACGTTTCGACCGAGTTTGACCGAGAAGTGTTTTCGACCAAAAAAAAACACATTTGTGTTCGACTCTATGTTTTGACTTTGTGTTTGATTTTATGTAATCTCGACTGAGATTAGTTTCGACTGCAAAAAATATTTGGACTGTTCGACCGAGCGAAAACGTTTCAACTCAAAAAAACCTTGACTGTTGTCAATGGTCGAATACATTTCGTGCGCTAAAAAAGCAAGTACTTAGGTTTAAAGTTTTAATGTATGTATGTATGTAGGTAATTATGTATGCATTTGTGTATGTATCTAAGTATGTATGTAAGTATGTATGTATGATTGAATGCATTCCTGTTTTTATAATGTATGTATGCATAAAAAGATGTTTGTATACAATTATGTTTTTATGTAAGTATCAATGTATGTATCTATTTATGAATGTATGCATGTATGTATGCATGTTTGTAAGTTTATATGTAAGTATGTATGTGTGTATATGTATGCATGTATTTACGTACGTTTGTATGTATGTATGTTTGCATGTATGCATATATGCTTTTTATTTTCCGACATTGTGTTCGATTCTATGTTTCGACTTTTTGCTCGACTTTAGGTTTAGACTTTGTGTTCGACTCTATGTTTTGACTTTGTGTTTGATTTTATGTAATGACTTCGTGTTTGACTTTTTGTTTTGAATTAATGTTGGATTTTATGTTTCAACTTTGTGTTCGACTTTATGTTTTGACTTCGTGTGCGACTTTATGTTTTGACTTTGTGTTCGACTTTATGTTTCGACTTCGTGTTCGTTTTTATGTTTCGACTATAGGGCCTTCTCGGCTATAGATTTTTGGTCGAACTCTGACATGTGTTAATTCCGCCTCGTTCATAACATAAATCGCAAACCTAGACCCGGGAATCAATGATCATCGTTTTTGGTCTTTTCGTATGGATGGTTTTTTTTTGCCGAACGTTCAACCTTGTCGAAGTGCACTAGAGCCAAAGTTTGCAATCTAGGCTCTCCAACACTGTTGTATTGTGTCGTAACTGTATTAGTAAGCTGGAATGATGGAAAAAAATTGTTAATGATAGGGAACTTATTCTAACTAACCTTCGTATGGTGACAGTTGGTAGTAGTAAACAGGTTCACTTCTCGCCATCGAACTGATAAACAGAAGCAAGCAGAAAACACTTACAAATTTAGGAGGCATTTTAGAGATGTTAATAGACGAAGTCTTAGCAAAATTGATTTGATTTCACTATGGTCAGAAGTTGTATTTTTTCTTTGAATTGAAATGTTATTTTTTGGTAAAATAAGAAAAATATCTTCAAGCAGCCAATGGTGAGGAAAAATTGATTATCAGAGAGGGAAATTGATTTCGATTGGCTCAAAATAACGCAGTTTGACAGGTTAATTCAGCAATAAATTAAAGCCGTAATCCGTCCGTTTTTGCAGTGCGCCTTTAAATTGAAAACACCCTCAGTATAATTTCCGGATAAATGTGTGAATGTTTCTCAACCTAAAACAGGAAAAATTTCAGCTTTTCAATTCTTGGATTAGAGACTGAAGGTTTTAAATTGAAAAAAGTAAGAATATACAAGATAATCTTGGATTTCACTTCACAAAAGCTCATAGAAAATTATAATATGCTATAATTCTGTAAATGTATTGGTCTGTTCACAATGAAATTTGCCAAAAAGGACAAAAACGTTTCGGGTTCTCAAACCAATTTTAAAGAAGTAGTTTAGTTATGCACGAGTAAAGTTAAACATGATTTGCTTTCTAATGAAAAAGCTTTTATTTATTCTGAAAGCTTTAATATCCTTTAGGATATTTGACTGCAAGTGCTTCAGGGAACGCCTGAATAGCTCGTTAGTGAAATTTTTCTTAATTTTTTTCAATCACTCTTTCGATATATTTAATTAGTGCAATAAAAGATATTACCGCATTATTGAAAAGGGAGTTTTGTTTCTTTTGAAATTTCTATTCCTTTTTGGGAAAACGTCAAAATTTTTAATTTTTCCTTAGCCTGTCACCTGATCTGATTTTTAATTTATTCTTGCAGATAATCCGTCAAAATGACGTTTATAGTCTCAGGCTCCAAAGTAAAAGGAAACTGCTTTAATCTAATCCACAATTCGACGCTCGATTAATTTCAAGACAAATTAATCGTCCAAATCAACCACTGAAAAAGTCAAATTCAGGAATCATGTGACCTTTTTAAAGTTGGTTTTGCATTTTCCTCCCCTGATATGGGTAAAGAATTTCTATTAAAATAAAAGTTTAACAAGACTGCTCATATCAGGGGGAAGCCCTGAATGTTCCGACTGCCTTTTAAAGTCTATGCAGCAGTGATAACAAAAAAAAATATGTAAAAAAAATGAAATGTATATATTTTTTAATTTGAGAATTTTTGAGAAAACCATTCCCCTATACGCCATATACAGTACAAAGTGATAGATTTCACTCCTAGTAGCAAATCAATTATGCCAAACAAGCTTCCTTGAACCAATTTGGAACGATTTCTAAGATTAAATCTCCGCTTACGCGTTAATTGCGCGAAATATATCGCGCGTTAATTGTCCAAAATTGGCCAAAACGGCAATCTTTAAACCCCCATAACTTTACGAAAAATGATCACAGGTGAAGCATTTTTCTTTCAAATTTAAGCTCAGGACAACAATAGTTTTCGAAAGTTATGAAAAAATTCAGTCAAAAGTTCCGCTAGTTAAAAAGTCGAAATTTGTCTGAAGAAAAAAAAATCACCACGAGCACGCATAATCCGTTATTTTCGTTACGAAAGTCAGATTAAAAATCGAAGTTTATGCAGATATGAGTTACGTACCTATTAACGATCGCGATCTCTTTACCCCTCTGAAGTGGAAGGGTAAATATAGTCAACAATATTAAAAATTGAAAACTTTGAGCCCTTGAAAAGATCTAGTTCGGGGTCACTGAGCTAGCAACGACTTCCTAGGACCAGTAGAACAATGTCGAACAGTAGATTTGAAATTGTTATCGGTCACAAAATCTCTCACCTGAATCAACTGATCGTTTGCAGATAGATTACTGATTCTGACCACCCGTGGACTGAAGTAGGAAGATATGAGAGTAAAAACGAAGCAATCTGAAGGAATTAACTCTGACCAGTTTCCTTAAAATGGAGAATTAGCCCAGCCAGGTTCTTCCCCCTTACCGATGTGATACCTTTGTCAAAGACTTAAGCTCACAAAGTAGACCGGGAAAATTGCCGAAAATCAAGTAGTAGGAACTTTTATCGGCGGAGCAGCTTTTGTTAAACAAAAGAAAAAATTAGATTTACAAAAACTGAGTAATTGTGGAGAATTTCATTCAAACTTTAAATTATTCGTTTTTTTAATCGGTATCTATTCTGCTTGAAAAATACTTTGAGCATTTGAAAAGAGAATTGTTCCTTTAAAAGTCTTTGAAAATTCGTCCAGTCGTTCGCCAATTTTTCGACCATCTGCACTTTCGGGCAAGTCAGCTATCAATTGGTTTCGCAAAAATGCATTAGCAGATAACAATCTTGAATTAACATACCAAAAAAAATTACTGCCATAAGTTAAGCCGCAGATCTTATTTTTTTCACTTGAAAGAACCCAAAAGGTACTGCAGAAAGTGCACTGGACCTGAAATGAACTTCTGGCATTTTAGTAACATTGTTTGAGCCGTGAATTAACCTCATTTGAATATCCAAATTCCCCTGAGCAAATTTAGCTGGGGCAACTGCCCTAGGGTAAAATACACACAAAAATCAGATATCTTTATGATTAATTAAACAAGAAGGTAAACAAAAACATGGAACAAGATGTTACTTAACACATTATATTTACGATCGAGCGTTTGCTAAATCTAAAAAGTTTTCATCTCAAATTTCTACATTTAAAGATTCTTGGGTATTTGGTTCGACTACAGATTTTTTATGACCAGCATTTTGACTAGTTGCATCGTATCTGCAGTGGAAAAATTTTCAGCAGTTGGTAGTTATAGAGTTGTAGCTAAGTCCACATTTTTCAGGTAAAGTTATTCTACCCAATACTGGTTTTATTCTTTCAGGCTGCCATTAAAAGGGCTGAGATAAGATAAACTTGCTCGCAAAATTAAGAAACCAGAGCTTTTGATTTAAAATGGAAATCGCTTTCATTTATCCCGCAAAAATGTAATTTTATCTTCAATTGACCAGTTTATTCTTTGTAATCCTTCTTGATGTTTTCATGTTACAGAAGAATAAATCATTTCAAAAAAGGTCAATAATATCAACATGATCAAGGATTTCTTAAAAATGTCTTTAAACTTGGGTACCGCGACAACTCTCAAGAAAAGACAACCCGTAAAAAAGACCAATAGCAAAAATTAAGGAAACAAGCGACAACTCGGAAGCTTTCAAGTAAAAGCTGAATTTTGGTGTAAGGTCTCTGATAACTGGCTGTAAATTTAGCTTTAGGCCATACCCTTTTGCAACAGGTTTGCGCAACTGCGGTGCTGATAATTTGCGAGTTGTCTTTTATTGCGAGTTATATTCTATTGCAAGAGGTTTCAGTTAGGTAAGCTAATACAAAAAAGAGCATCACAGGCTGATCTACAACTTTCTCGAGCAGGTTTTTTTTTTTTAAATCATACCGATTTGATTTTCCCAGCTCTCATAATACCCGGGTTGACCAAAAAAGCTAATCATACAATTTCTATAAGGGAAATCATAAAAATGTGGAAAAATGCGAATCATGCACTTCTCATGCTTTTCATACACTTTTCATGCATAATTGTTACCCTGTATTATCTGACAACCAATTCTCACCATGTAAAAACCCTAATTGTCACCATGTATTCTTTTATAACTAATATTCCTCATGTAAAGTTTTGATATATTATTGAGTATTACCACTGAACGTTGTGTTTACATGTTTGGTGTTAGAAAGGATTTGGTTCTTCTTCTTCGACCGCTTCATAATCGAAAAACGAATCGTTGAAAAATGACGACTCGTTCTCATCGGAAGTATTGGCCTCCAGATCGGCGATATCCCTGCTATCTATATCACTGTCGTTAGTTTCTGCTGCCCGAATCAGACCGGGGTCTGGAGTTTGCCAACTGCTATTCACCTGCTCCATCAATTGTCGAAGCGAACGATGTGGTTGTGTAGTTTCATCAGCAAAGCTATCCTCAGAGTAGTCATCATCAATTTCCGGGTGGTACCAATAATGTTTCGAGTGTTAGCGAATTCTTCAGACACCCCATCTAGGAATCCTCGCAATCCCAAGACACTGGCTGTTGACCATCTTCAAAAATTGACTCCAATTTTCTAAATTGTCATCATCAGTTGGATCCGAATTTGCATTGGCGGCGTTGTCATTGCTATCATCAATGCCAATCGCAGTTTGACCCACGATGTTTTTGTGACATTAGGGAAGAGTCTGCTGGCCATCATCGATGATGTAACGTTTGTCATCAGAAGCTGATAACGATGTTCACGTCAAAGTCACAGTTTGCAGATTGTAAGACTCGGATGCGATTCAAATGTATTCAGTTTTGAATAACGAGCCAGAGGTCAAGGTGTCGCGATATCGCTGATGAGTCAGCGATTTCTGAGCAGCTTTTGATACACCCATAGTTTTCTGCAGTCGAAATCTATAAATAGATGATTACAAACCCATTTAACGACGATCACTAAAGTGTGGTGAAAAAATAATGGAATTATTTTTTGTGGCTACTACATCAACTTCAAGTCCAGGGGCACTAAGAAGTGACCTGATGGTCAAATGTGGCCTTAAAAATCAGTCATCACAAAAAAATTTCCAAAAACTCAAAAAAAATTCGCCGACAAAATAATTTTTTTTCACAAGAAAATCCCCGACCAAAAAAATTTTTTTTAAAACAAAATTAATTTTTTCACCGACCAAAAAAATTCACGCTGAAAAAAAATTTCAAAAAAAAAAACAATTTGTGCCAAAAAGTAAAATAAAAATTAAAGGCAGAATAAAATGATTATGATTACCTCTTGACAAAACGCAATAAAGCTTGGATTGGAGAGATATAAACTCGGTTATTATGTCCCCTGGAAACTCGTCCTTGAACTTAGAAACAACCCTTTTGTTTTTGTTTTTTGGATCGAAGAGAGGTTGGTTCTTCGGGTAATTTGACAGGTCAAAATCTTTCAAAATGATCTTTTTTCGTAAATTTTGCGCTATAAATCTCCACTTTTGATTTCGTACATGAGACTGTCCGTATCAGAATAGAGAAGTTGACATTCAAAACTTAATTTCATTATATCATAATTAAATTTATACATGTGAAACTTTGCTAATTCAAGAACACTAGCTCGTACAATTGTCGGCACTCAAATTTTTGTTGGATTCGAAGTCAACACTGCCAAATTTTCCCCAAAAATTTTGTAGAATTTGAACTCGACTGCACTAATTTCTTGCAAGGCGGCTTGATAATCTCTGACTATGCGAATGAGCATCCGTTTGCGCTTTGACTCGCATATTTTTCCATAAGCACAGTTGTTTAAAAGTTTGTTCAAATCCTGCTCAAACTTGTTTCTAGCTTGTTGTCGTTTAGTCGTGTTCAGAGTGATATATGGTTCCAACCATGCTTCTTGTTCAAACTTCAGCACACGGTGCTCTTTTAAAAACTTTTAATTTTAACCAAACATACAATTGCGAATATTTGTAATGCATTGTGTAGTTTGACTTGTCATGCAATGTCTGTAGTAACTTCTTGGTCTTACCAATTGAACGTCTTGCAGTTTCTTGATTTCTCATCTGCCCGATTAAATTTGTTTGGTAGGGACTCAACCAATTCTGGGGTACTATTTTTTTGGCAGGAGCTAAAGGGTTAATCTTGATGACTGTCATGTAAATATTCTGGGTACTCGAGATCAACTTCTAATATAAATCCAATCAGAGAGTCTTCAGAATTTTAAAGATTTAATTCAAAATTACCTTGTCTTCTATATGCTCTATTAATTCGAAGTTTGGCACCGGTTTTTTTTTCTGTTTGCATAGCGCCACCATAGAGGTTGTTCGCGTCGATCATAAGCCCGTAGGTGCTAGGTTGATCTGGGTTGATATCGGGACAATCATTGTTGTTTGCTTTGAAAACGCGACTATGGAACACAGATACAGTGCCACCTCGCATCACATTCTCGACTTTTTCGAAATGCCTGCGGTCTGATATGGGCTGAACATTTGAGTCTTTGCAAATACGTTTGAAGCCGCCTCCAGTTAAGTTGGAAGCACTAAAAAGGTGCGTACAGTCCAGGCCATAAGTTTGGTGATTAATTTGACGAAACTCTTCAAGGACGCAAGCAAGAACGAGTGTGTCACTCTTGAAATACAAGTTGTGATAATCCTCCAAGCTCTTACAATTAAACTCTCTAAAAAACTCCTTGTTTGTTGCAGATCCGCATCTGAAACTGCAACTTTTCCTTTAATCAAAACATCGGACCAATGCTGCAAGGGAGGCAGCTTCTATTCTGCAAATTTTTTTCTATTAGCCATGTACGAATAAAGGTAGAAACCTTTTTGTCGTATCAGACCTTGTTGCTCCACCGTTTCGTTTGCAAAATGCTCGTTTAAAAATGACATTTTTGCAGTGGTACATTATCAACCAATTCTTACAAGCAAAAATTTTAGAACTTGCATGAGTCAATGAATCTGAGGTACTCGAAAACTTTTTGATCACTTCCGTTCTTCCTTTTTATAGTTTTAATTAGGCCTCCAATGCTTAAGGATAAAAAATTTCGTCGGTGCTGGGTGTAACACTCAATGTACTGGTTGGCTCGCATTCATGCAATGCGAGACAAATAGGGTGAAGGTCGTAGTTCTGGATGTTATGTCCAATGGCTAGGGTAAAATTCACATTTTGTCTTGCTAGATTGCTTTTTTCATGTGCCCATATCATAAATTTTCCAAAAAATGACAATGGTCAAAACATTTTTAGTGCTTATTGGTAAAAATGTATACAGCAAATCCAACATATTGATGTGTTTTCTGTGTTCAACGATTCTTGACTTCCAAGGAGTTGAGGAAATCGTCGCGTTTGATCATATATCTCTCTCGCTAATTGATGCAACTGGTTGAGAAACTTTTTCTTGCATTGATCAGAGCCGTCATAGTCAAAGAAATAAGCCAGTGAGTTAACGTGGTCAATTACAG